GCCAGGAAGTCGTATCATGCCAGGAAGGTCTATCGGTAGAGGTCAGACGATGTCCAGGTTGCGGGTTCGGCTGAATTGTGCGTTTCAGTCGGTAAAAAATGGTGGGGGAGTAATTGATCCAAGTAGATGGGCCTTCACCCGCTGCCTTGCGGTTAGATTCTTGTTAGAACTGAAGGCTTTGGACGATAACCGTAATCGTTCTGCTTAGTGGCTGGACACCCTAGCAGTACCCGTCCATCAAACCCTAATATATACACAATATAAGAACAATTCCATCGGTCGTCCCGCAGGATAATCAGGACCGCGCTGCCCTTTGCATCGAGCGGGGTGGATAGTGGTAAGTGGGCTACTGCTCAGATATCCCCAATCTTTGTTTAATTCATCGTCTTCAGCACCCAGCCCTCTCCGTTTGCCCCTCCTTCCAACTTCTAATAGTCCCTCAGGCAACTTGGTTGTCGCTCGCCAAAGGTCGTTGCCAAATAGCACTAAGTATTGTATCACGAAATGAATTGCAGATTCTAAAGCCTCATCAATCAGTGTATTTGGGGGCGTTCAACGTGAGGACTCAGCAGTTAGGTCAACACGCATGTTTGGCTCGTACAGTGGAATCCTTAAGAATCGATATTTGCCGCGTATCGGAAACTCGGATCTAGGGTCCTACTATAAGAAACTTGAGCGCGCCCGATTTGTTTTCGAGATATGTTCATCGCACATGAGGCGACAATGAAGCTCTTTCAGTAGGCCAGCGTGGAGTAGGTATTGTACTCAGTAACAGAGCGGAGTCCTCTCTTGTCGACTGGATCCCCGTCAACAGTTCGTCTTCAGGGTTCAATCAACGTCCGGAAAGAAAGCAACACCAAAAGGTGTTTGTTCGCCGTATCGACATACTCACCGACCGATTCCAGCTCTGATACTCAAAGGACGCTTTCTACGATGAACTCATCGATCTCATGCGGCTGAGCCAAAGCTCCGACATAATCATACTTGCAGGTGACTTCAAGGCGCAAATTGAAAAGCTGAGCGCATCAGAAGCTTGCCTAGGTGGGATTTCTGCTCTCCCTTGCCAACGAACAGATAACGGTGATCCACTTCTTCAGTTCTGCGCAGATCATCATCTGTTCTTATCTAGCACTAACTTCCGACACAGCTGTCGACACGGCAACTTGGCGCTCCAGTCCATCCGATACGGTAGCTCAAATCGACCACATAGCAGTAAGCTACTGTTGGGGTGACTGCAAAAATGCAGGTCCTATTGGACCACCTGCGTTGAGTCTGACCACGCACTAGTTTTGATGCAGTTCACTCTACGACTGACTGGCCGGCGATGAATTCAGCAAACTCGGATAGCTCATCGTCGACGATCTGTTCCAACAGTTCATGTTCGCTATGAATCAGAGCTAGCGCGTGGACAAAGCGCGCCGCAACCTGATAATGTAGATGAGCAGTGAGGTCAGATTAGGCGAGCCATGCATTCCGCAGCGAATGTGGGTCTGAGCCTCAAGCCCGTCAAAGGCATTGGATATCTCAGGAGTCAGTAGCCTGATGGAGAAAAACGACCAGTCCCGACCTGCTAGGATCAAAACAGAGTTGAGTGTCATCTACAACGTCAGCTCACAAAGAGCCTAATGAAGGACCGTGAGAACTGGTGGGCAACAATAGCTAGTGAAATGGAAGTAGCGGCTACATCATGGAATGGTTAAAGACTGCTCCGACTGATACGCAGTACCGGAGGTTGGCGAACTCCAGTTAGTGAGACAGTTTGTGATAAAATGGGACAAGATATTCACAATGGGGATCAACGACTTGATAGCTGGGCGGACAGTTCAGTTGGCCTGTTGCTAACCAGGTTGCCTCCCGCAACTGAAGCTCCGTGGTGAATATCCAGCGATCCTCCAACGGGAGCAGAAGTTCGGTCTGAAACGAGGAAATGCAGCAGGACCAGATGAGCTCCCTCCCACTCTTCTCCTGGTCTGAAGGAGAAAGACTTCTTTTTCCAGGTATCTTAAACTTCTTTCTCGTTGCAGTGGCATTTCAAAGGCCGTTTTGATTGACTTTATTGTGAGCAACCATTTTGATTCATGCGATCGATTGATCAGCCAATGAAGAACATTGTCTGCACTCCCATCTCAATAAATCGGTGTCCCACCCGAGTACCCGTTCCCGATTTCGGATTCTTTGTGCACGCACCACCACACAAAAAATAGCATGATCCCTTATTTTGCTGGTATCTCGGTCAACCGAGCAAGTATTATTACTAACTTGAACAATCATCTGTCACCTTAGGATTTTATTTAATCCGGTTTTTTTACATTTGGTAAATATATTCTTTTTCTAGTGCTTACCGTTTTTCCCCACTGTAACTTGTCGAAAATACTGAAAATTCATCTTATCGGTTGCTTAAAGCTTTACTTGCCTTGACTTCAAAAGATGGGAGGTGATAACCTCGTAAGGTGCATTACTACCTTACTGCGCAACATTTGAACGAAAGAGCGCATTCGTTCATCTTGGGGCGAATCACTGATCGGTCCCATTTTCAAGAAAGGATCTCGCAACGATTGCGAAAACCACCGCGGGATCAGTTTGATTCTGATGGTCACCAGAGTGCTAATCTTGG